GCTCTTGAAAGAAACTGCTCTTTTTCAAGGACTGCTCTTATCAGAACTATGGCTTGCCCAAGGTCATCCAGCCAGGTGCAAGTGGAGGAGTGGGGAATCAAACCCGGTTCTCCCAGATTAGAGTCCGCACACTTTACCACTACACCAAACTGGCTCTGAGGGGGCTGCCTGAGTGTTCTTCTGGACATTCAGGCTGCATTCCTAGGGAGTAGGCCCTCCTGAGCTCAATGGGACTTACGTACTAGGATTGTCAGAGATCAATGTTATGGTTTGTAGGATGAATGTTTTTAACACTTTGACTTTGAAGTCAAACGGCTGTTATTGCTGCTTATTTTAATAGTTTTAATGGTTTTGTTGTTGTTTTACATTGGGTTTCAGTATTATGAGAGAAAGATGGGTTTATAAATGTTTTAAACAATTAATTCATCCAATTGTTTAAACCTATAATGGCCCCAAAGAAGTAACTCCATATATAGTCAACAATCCATGGACAATGCCGGGCTTCCCGTTTATGGCAACATGCAGGCAGACACATCTCCCGGAAGTCCCGGGGATGTAAACTGCACACCAGCATGTGGGAGGGGGTCCGACAGGTCGTGACCCCCCCCCCGGAGCCTTGGTAAAAGGCTCCCAGCCAGGGGGCTTTTGAGGGGTGACCTCTTCGATGGCCGAAAGCCAGAGAATTGAGGCACCCCTCCGCCCTGAAGGTCCTGACGCTGAGTGACCGCATGGTACAAGTGCTGCTCATTGGGACAAGCGTTGGAGATCGGGCAAAATAAATGGTGACGAGTGAGGCCGAATGGCCAACAACGAACTGTGAGTCGGGTGAAGCAAGCATGAAGATATAAAAAGAAGCTGCCCCCTCTAAAAAGAGCGATGGGAAAGCGAGCGGGGGAGGGGCCCTCCCAAATGCACGGACGAATGCGGAAGGAAAGAGGGGGGAGTGGAAAAATAAGCATTTAAAACTGTTTTGAAAGACTTACCAGAGCGCAGAAAAGCATTCGGGCGAACATCAGAGACTTTAGCAACTTCTTTGAAAAGTAAACAAATCCAAAAAGATGGCAGGGAAAAAACTGGAGAAAGAGAAGCTGTTGATAGCGAAACTTGGGGGTAGTCCTCGAAAAGAGGAGGTCTCTGAGCTCCCAAAACTTTTAGCTGACTCCCTGCGCCCTCTGCTGGATGAGATCACTGGCATTAAACAACAACTGTCAATAATTGGACAGAGTCTAGCAGATCAGCAGATGCAGTTGATAATAATCTGCCTGGGGAGATAGTGGTCAGATTCTCGAAGAGACATGTGAGAGACACTATTTTAAAAGCAACCTCTGGATCACCTTCACTACTTAAAAAGTTAAGAAAAAGGTATAAAAGCTGGAAATTAAGCAAGCTACAGAAGAGTCAAAGCTTTTACAGCTACAAATGGATAAAGCAAATTTGGCCCTACGGTTTCAAGGGGTCCAGGAAATTGAAGGAGAGAATCTGAAGCAACGACTGAGTGAAGCAATATCCCCAATGACAGATTTAACAGCGGAATACCTTTGCAGCGAGATGGATGTGGTCTACAGATCTTATTCATCGTACATCAAGAAAAATAATCTGCCTGGGGAAATAGTGGTCAGATTCTCGAAGAGACATGTGGGAGATGTTATTTTGAAAGCAAATTTGGGAACACCCTTGAAAATTGGGGGCAATAATATCAGGATTTTAAAAGACATTCCATTTGATATAAGACAGAAGAGAAAGAACTATAAAGAATTAATCCTTTTCTTACAAACAAATGGCATCAGTTACAGGTGGTTAACTCCAGAATGCGTCATTTTCAAGATTAACGATAAAAAAGAAAAGATTGACTCTGTTTTTAAAGCACGTGAATTTCTGCGGACACAGTTTGGGGAACTAGAAGAGGGCAAAGAGGAGGAAAAAGTAAGCAAATCTGATGGCGAGTTGGGCTCGGGGTCTTCGGACGAGGACTCCCCTTCGGAAAAGGTGGCGGCTGCCCCCCAAAGCCTTTATAAACTGAGGATTAGAAAAGATAAGAATAAATAAGGGCTGAAGGACTCTGATTTGTGCCTGAAAAAATGTTGAAATAACTTGGGGATGCTCTGGGAATTTCTTTAAACAGTTAATGGGATGGTTAAACGATAATTAATCTAGCATAACCGACTAAGTTCATTGTATTATTAGTAGCTTTTTGAAAATAGCATGGTGTTAAGCTGACGTATGATATCGTACTCTTGGGTTTTTAGTTAGCTGTGGGTCTTTTTTTCTTTATTCCCTAGATGTAGTACCCTTTCCTATATTTTCTGTTGTAGTTTTGTAGTTTGAAAAAACCCAATAAAAACCTCCCCCTAGGGGGATGGGGGGGGAACAATCCATGGACAACACAATAACAAATAAACCCAGGGCTCTTTTTGGTAGCAGGAACTCCTTTGCATATTAGGCAACACACCCCTAATGTAGCCAATCCTCCAAGAGTTTACAATAGCTCCTGTAAGAAGAGCTCTGTAAGCTCTTGGAGGATTGGCTACATTAGGGGTGTGTCGCCTAATATGCAAAGGACTTCCTGCTACAAAAAGAGCCTTGAAAAAACACCAAGGACAAGTCAATCACAATAAGGAAAGGATGCTTTGTCTTACAGTCTTTGCAAGTCTTCAGATTTATAGGACACAAATGTCTAAGCCATCTTCAGCAGAACAGGTATGGGGTTCACCCCCCCCCCATTTCTTTTATATATTTGTATACATTGTCCATACCATTTTTGTGATTTTGATTTTCAGATTGGCTTCATTACATCAAAAATGAAGTCCTACCTGCTCTCTGCATTCTTGTCAGTTTCAAGCTCTTGTCCTCTTTTACATCTTCCAATGTCCGCAAACCCATCCTGTACCACTTTTCTGAAGTCTTTAGCCCCACTCCAAAAACAGAAGTAAATTGCTAGAGATAATGGGGAAAACATTCAAATTACTGAGCTGCAGAACTTTGGGCTGATTCCTGTCTGAATCAGCAATTTTTCATAGTATCAGTTTGACAGAGTCTTACATAAATGGATAGCAAACAATGAGCACTGAGTTCAGGGGACTGGCCCTTAATCTTACTCTGAAAGCTCCCAGTGAGCTTCTACCTTGGAGTCCAATGGTGGCCAAGAGCAAACCAAATTCCAGTATCTCTGCCATTGCTGTAGAGGTCGCTCAGCTCCTACCCAGCCAGTGGCAACGATAATGGGTTCAGGCTCACTGCTTGACTCCTGCTGCACTGAGAAGTGAAGCGACCCCTGTGCACTGCCTTGCAAAGGCTGTCTGACTCAGACTCAGCCAGCAGTGGCACAGAGGGAGGTGATGAACGGGAGCCATTATTCTCTGCCAACAGCACCGGGAATGGCTCAAAAAACACAGCCATGTTTTTGTGTATGTCCTATTTATTTCAGTTTTGTTGTGTTTTATTAGAAGATTATAGGAATGTTGTTGTGGGTATATAAAGCAAGCATTGACTAATATCCCAGAAGTAGAATGCATGTCATATTGTTTGCCAGTGCGGTGTCTTCCAGAAGTTTTGCTGCCATTCACAGGACCTGCGACTGATTGTACAGCCCCTGTTATAATTGTCCCTTTGTGATGAATCTCCTGCCTTTGAATGCAGGCCATGCTAATTTTATCTTTTTCTTTCTAATGAGATTAATTTTTGGAAGCAATTATGATAAAGAAAAGCAAAGGATGAAAATCCTGGACAATTTAAAATACATATTACTCTACATTTTAGATATACAAAGAGTGGAATTACCTAGTCTTTGTGGAAAGCTCCCTGTTTGTAAGGAAGTGTGATTATATTTTGCAATCTCATTTTTCAAACGTTATTTAGATTTTTATCTAGTAATTTTTTAGTACTTTGTTTGCTCAACAGGCTTTAAATGGGATCAGAAGAATTCACAGTAGTCATATTAGTTCTTGAATAAAAGAATAGGGGGGGGGTTTTAACCATGGACTCCATCAATGGCACTAAAGGAAACAAAATTAAAGCCTTTTGTCTCTAGAGAATACTGTTTCTTTCAAAACTTTTGGCAAAGTTTGCTGTTTGTCAGGCATGTTAAGTGCATTTATACCTCAGCCTGAACCGATATGCTTTGAAGTCAGTCCCAGGGAGTTCAAATAAACCAACTTTCAGGAAGATTCCAGATTATTTGTATGGCAAGAGTCCCCAAAGAGGTGCCCGTAGTCACAGCAGCAGCCATCAGTACTTTTCCTAGAGCCCACCAAGCACTTTTAGAAAGTGGTCAGGCCAAATGGGGCTTTTGCCTAGCAGGGCTTCTCTCTGGCCCCCAGAGATCTGATTGGCTGTACAGATTTTTTAAAAGCTGCTTCAGCAGTAGCTGCCACCACAGCACAAGGATTTTCACTGCACAAATGAAGATAAGCTATGTATATGTAAGAAAGTATTTTAGGCCACAGTCACACGAAAGGTTTTGGGCCGGGAGAGGGATGGATCGGGGGCGCAGCAAACGGGCGCAATCCCACAGCAACATCTGGGAAGTGTTGCGCACCCGTCCCTGATCCGGCCCTTCCGCCCGAAAAGCCGCAGCAAAACTAAACCACCTACCGAGGTGGACCTTCCAGCACGGCCGCATCAAGCCCAGCCATGGGATTGCCGGCACGTCCTTCTGCCGGCGCATCCCAGGGTCCTGGCTGAACTGCGCATGCTCACACATGCGCAGTTCAGCAGCCTCCCTTTCCCCACCGTGGCTTCCCCCGGCATCTGATCGTGCCGCAAGGTAGCCCCGCCGCGGCTGCTCTATTTTGGTGCGGCTTCCAAAAGCCATACTTTGCCCGTACCTTCCCCCCCCCCCATGTGGCAGGGACCTTAAACAATATGTTCATTTTAAAAGGCATCCTGTTTAACAGCTTCTGCCTGGAATGTTGAAGAGTTACCATCAGAGTTGTGCATGACTTCCCCCTCTGACATTTTGTAGTTGGCTTCATCTCTTGTGGCAGCCATTTTGTGGTTTTATCCACCATCACTACCACCTATAACCTTGGTTATAGTTCAATTCTCTGCATGGATTCTTCAAGATCCCAGTGGCTTGTTGAATATCCACTGGGACTTGAGCACCATATTCTGTGAAACAGCAGCAGAATAAGCATTAAACTTGCAATTCCAGAAACACTTAAATGGCAATGTTTGTCCTTTAGCCAAGTAGGCCAAACGTGAGCTAAAAACCCACCCGTTCAAAGATGGAGTCCTTCTATTTACACTCACTTGGGGAAAAGCACTATTTAACTATTAAAGCACTGACTTACTTTGGAGCAAATGCACATAGGGCTGAGCTATACATAGGTTGCACTATGAACTCTGTGGTATACATATCACCAGTATTTAGGATGACTTGAAATAAAATCAATTTTTGCAAAAACAACAACAACATCAAAATTGAATCTCATATTTCACAATGGAAAGACTTGAACTGTTTGCTCTAATCAAAACATATCTTGCTGGATCACCATTGAACCTAGGAATATGTCTGCTGCTACCTGCCATTTGCATTGGTCTTCCCTCCTTATCAGCCGCAGTTCAACACATACATATAGAAAAAATAGCTATACCTTAAATGATCTGTAGTATTCACAGTTTAGCACAGTTTTCACTCTAGGACTCTCTCCTTCTTCTAGAATATCCTGTAGATGTTAAATGCACAATGTATAGGTTATGCAAATGAATTCATATTTACAAATTCATCATCCTTGGCTTCTTAATGTTGACAGTTCTGGTTTAAGTGGATGCAAGCAGGATACCATGAAGAACTCAAGGAGGATGGGAAGTCCCTTCCCCTTACTGATTCCCACTTCCTCTCCTCTTGCTCACTCTATTGCCGCCACCACCTTCTCCTCTTCCTTTCCCTGACACTAACTCTCCCCCCCTCTCCATCAGCAACACCTTGAGAGCCAGTTTAGTGTAGTGGTTAGGAGCACGGACTCTAATTGGGAAGAACTGGGTTTGATTCCCAACTCCTCCGCGTGCACCTGCTGGAATGACCTTGGGTCAGTCATAAGTTCTCTCAGAGCTGTTCTCTCAAGAGCAGTCCTCAAAAGAACTCTCTCAGACCCACAGGGTGTCTGTTGTGGGGAGGGGAAGGGAAAGGAGTTTGTAAGCCACTGAGACTCCTTCAGGTAGTGAAGGGCAGAGTATAAATCTAATCTCCTCCTCCTCCTCTTCTTCTTCTTCTTCTTCCTTCCCCCAAAACTCCTGCCTCCACTTTCTCCCTTCCTCTTGCTTCTCTATTTTGATGGGTTAAACCCCACACACACTATTTTTTATTTACTTCTGGGGGTTTTCTGAAAACCTGGACATTCCCCCAAGTCTCTAGAAACATCTCCCCTTTCTTTGCATGGAGACATGGTACTGATTTTCAATCGATACTTTGGAGCCAAGTTCAAAATTAGACATACGATATAACATAGAGGAATTTCAGATAGGCGATATATTCCAGTTCAGGAACAGTTCCCAAACAGTTTCTGGTCTGACATTTCACACAGAACCGTTTTAGAACCGGTTCCCTACCGGAATATATTTGTACTTTCACACACAAACGCTTCTGTCCCGTTCAGGAAACGGGGCTGAATCGTTTTACCTGTAAACCACTTCCAAGTAGTCTTCAGTTTCTTCTCCCGGATCCAAAATGGGTTTTCCCGCCGTTTTTTGCTCACGCGGGCGATCTCCGGCTTTTTTTTTTTTAACATTCACTTTAGAGCACTATAGCAACCCCATTGGGAGTAAACCGGTATAGGGCTGCCATTTCACACATGGCTTTCCCCTACTGGTAAACAGCTGGATCTGAAGCGGTTTGCCATTTCAGACTGCACTGCTTTTTCCCACTTTTCCTGCCGATTTTCGCCCGCATAGGCTATCTCCGGCTTTTAAAAAAAATGTTCGATTTAGAGCGCTATAGCGCTATAACACAACACTCCAGGCATTCCAATGGGGTTGCTATATCCCAGTCAGAAGGTGGGAGGTTATTGTAAATAATGCTGGTAAAGGATACAGAGGTACAATGCATATTGTAATCATCTTGATTAGAGCAGAGGGGAAATGCTTGGGGGCAGGAAAATTAGCATCTGTAGTCAGATAGGAATCCTATGTCCCTATTCTGCCGGGGTGGGGAGGCATAGTTTTGAACTTGAAAATGAACTGTATATAAAATACAATTCAAGAAACAAGAAAAACTGAAGTCTGATATTTTAATCTGGGATTTTACTAGATCTGTCAAGTCACAGCTGACTTATGGTGATGTTTTCAAAGCAAGTGATGTTCGAACATGGTTTGCCATTGCCTGCTACCCCCATCCAGATGTTGGCCAGGACTGACCCTGTTTAGCTTCTCGATCTGACAAAACTGGGCTAGACCAGGCTATCCAGGCCAGGGCCCAGTATGGGTTACTTTATTATATACCCAACAATAAATTTTTCTTTCATGTATTACTCTGGCTCCATACAATAACTGTAGTAAACACAACAAAAGATTTTAAGGCATATGGGTTTTTGTATCTTGCCGGGGGAGGTGCCAGGGAGGAGCAGGACTATGTACCTTGATAAGGTTTTCCTGGACAGTTGTTTTGGGCTTGGTGTGAGTCCAAAAAGGGGTAACAAAAAGTGAGGACATACCAACAACCAGAAAGTTGGCATTCCATCACCCCAACACTCTAAAACTCAGCCTCCTGGCTTTAAACAAGGGAGAAATAAGGAACAAGACAAAGAAAAGTCAAATAAGGAAGGGAATTAGGAAAAAAAGACCACCAAAGAGATAAACTGGGAGATAGCCGACTCCTGGTACCTATATTTCTATGCCTTCCCACAGGGAACCAGCCAGGCTGATTAGACCCTCCCTCTAACCTCATAGCAAGCAACGGCTGCTGCCAGTGACCTCCTCAGCCACTCACTACCACACCTTCACCCACCACATCTGTTCTCTCCTGGGGGCAGAAGGCTGGGGTAAAGAGCAATACCTTCCAGCATTGTTGTTTGCCATTCTCTTCCTGTCCTTGAGCCCCACTGTGGCTGGCACTCCAAGAAGTTGGGTCTCTCTCTCAAAGAACCTACCTTTGTTGTAGCTGCTCAAGGCCAAGATGTTAGCCTCTTTCCTCAGAAGTACTTTGAGCTGCTATTGTCTGGTGATTTGGAAAAGAGACCAAGTATTAGTATTGCAGGCTCAGAGGTGGCTGAGGTACTTACCTCAATGACTCCTTTGACTTGTTCTCCCATCCAGGGCAATCCTACAATATCCGTTGCTTTCACTATAGTAAATGGAAGGTACTTCAGCACCGATGCTGCTCTCCTAAATGCAAGGCAAGGTCCTTCATTTTCTCTGAACTCATAGTTTTCAGCCAGTATTTCAAAGGCATCCTTGATGGGTTGGGAAAGAGAGGGAGAAATTAGTAAGAACTGATGCGTTCCATAAGCCGCCAAGAAAGTTTAAAACTTGTAAGCTGTGGTACAGATTTCCTCATACCGCAGCAAATACAAAACAGCTAACCTGTTGTGACATTTTGCTCACAGGTATGCTTAATAAAGGACCTTTCAGTGAACCACCATATGGCCTCTGACCTTAAGAGCGAGAGCTGGCGTACAACCACCAATTTGGGCAAATCTCCTGAGCCTGAGAAAGTGAACTAGTTACTGCAGTTTTGAGAAATCTGCTCATATCTCCTACCTAGAATGTCACTGCATGATGTCTGTGTTTCTTCAAAACAATCAAGCAAACAGTGTGTGGCAGGACCAGATTCTTAAGTCAGAATTAGCCTGGCTGAGGGAAAAAATGCTCGGAAGCACATTTGTAAGGGAGAATGTGAGTGAACAAGGCAGGGATTCAGAACACCTCCATCCTCCTCCATATTAAATACATTTGCTGCTTGAATATCAGTGTGTCAGCCAAATTAACCAGATGTCATAGTTTGCCCCTAGACCTTTGACGTTTGTGTGTGTATAGATGTATATTCATACAGTTTTAATAAAACTACAAAGTTCACAAAATCCACAGTACATTCTGATTTCTGGGAGTGAAGGAAAGAAGGGGAAAATGCCAAAAATCAGTAAACATTTAATCCATGTACACAAGGATTTAATCACAACAGGCATTGTGTTGGGGTGCCACACTGTTGGTGTTGGTGTGCCACACCGCAGTCCAATAGTCTCTCTTCCTGAGATGACATAGGCAGTCTTGGACTTGGTGCTGACAACCCTGAGGTCGGTTGTCCATGGGGACTTCAATGTTCATGCCAAGCCTGCCCTAGCAGGAGCAATTCAAGACTTCATGTCCACCATGACAACTATGGAGCTGTCCCAGAACATCCTGGTACCTATGCATACAGCAGGCCATACACTTGATTTGGTTTTCTCTGGGGATAAATTATATGATTTGGTAAAGGGGGGGGTTGCACTCTGACCTTGTCACAGACTGACCATTATCTGGTGAGATTTATACCCTAGGACACTCAGAACCTCCATAAAGGTAGAGGGGAAATTAGGAGATGGAGGCTGAAGGACCCAAAGGGGTTTCTGGTGTCTCTTGGGGGTTTTCTGGTCAGAAACGTTGCGATTCCTGTTCAGCCCTCATTGACCTGTGGAATACGGAGACGACCTAGGCTGTGGATATGATTGCCCCTGAGTGCCCTCTCTCCTTTTATAGAGTCCAGGATGCATTTTGTTTTAATGAGGAGTTTCAGGTGATGAAAATGGCTGGGCAGAGAGAGAACAAGTGGAGGAAAACTCAAAGTGAATATGACTGAACACGGGTGAGAGAGCACATTATCATGTATACTGTGGGATGGTGATGGGAGCAAAGTGAGCTTACTTTTCTGCCACCATTGCCATCTGCACAATGCCGTCCAGCTGAGTTTTCCCAGGCTGGGAAGGGGCTTTTATCTCAGATCCCAGAGCCCATTGTGATTCCTTTGCAATGTATTTTGCAGAATTGCTCCCTCCTGCCACAGCTTAGACACCATACTTGGACTGAGTCATTCTCAGGTTGTTATCAGAGTGCCATCTGGTTCTAGTTGTATGGGTGACTTTCAGTAGGTGAGACATGATGAAGTGGACAAGGTGCTTCGATGTATGCTGCTCACCACATCCAGTCTTGACCCTTGCCCCTCATGGCTAATATTATCCTGCCAGATTGGGTTGGTGACCAAGTCCAGGAGGTAACAAATGCCTCTCTGCAGGAAGGTTGTAGTTGTGACCACTTTGAAAGATGTGGTTATGAGACCCCTCCTGAAGAAGGTATCCCTGGACCCAAATGCTCTCAACAACTACTGCCCCGTGAGTTTCATTCAGCAAATGCTCACTGAGCCCAACTGGTCAGTTTATATTGAGAGAAAAAATCATGGCCTTTGGCGTTTCCCTAGATTCACTGGCCATGCTCCCTTTTATGAGTGTGTACTTGTTAATCAAATGCAGAATCTTTGACATTGACATTGGTGGTGGCAGCTACAAGCATGGATGGCTTCAAGAGGGAATTAGATAAATATATGGAGCAGAGGTTCATCAGTGGCTATTGGCCACAAGGTATGGATAGGGACTCTGGGGCAGGTGATGCTCCATATTCTTGGTGCTTGAGGGGGGTCAACAGTGGGAGGGCTTCTAGTGCCCTGGTCCCACTGGTGGACCTCCTGATGGCACCTGGTATTTTTGGCCACTGTGTGACAGAGTGTTGAACTGGATGGGCCTTTGGCCTGATCCAACATTGGCTTCTCTTATGTTCTTAAGCCCAAAAGCTTTATAGTTTAGCTAACAAGTCCTGTTCCCCTCTTAGTTTTGAGGTTCCTCTTACAACAGGTCAGATGGCTTCTTACTTACTTATCCCTCTTACAAGTTCCCCAAACTCGGAGAGCCTTCTCCCTGGCAAGACTGCATTCTTGGCTAGGACCTGTCTCTGTATTTCCGGCTGCGTTGAATCAATGTCACATATTCTCCTTCATTGTTACTTTAAATCATTGGTGTGACCTCATTTGGAGTACTGTGTACAGTTCTGGTCACCACACCTCAAAAAGGATATTATAGCATTGGGAAAAGTGCAGAAAAGGGCAACTAGAATAATAAAAAGGTTGGAACACTTTCCCTATGAAGAAAGGTTAAAACACTTGGGGCTCTTTAGCTTGGAGAAATAACGGCTAAGGGGTGACATGATCAAGGTTTATAAGATTATGCATGGGATAGAGCAGGTAGAGATAGAAGTACTTTTCTCCCTTTCTCACAATCCAAGAACTTGTGGACACTCGATGAAATTGCTGAGCAGTCGGGTTAGATAAAAGGAAGTACTTCTTCAC